CCCCCCCCCTGTGGCCTTCCTACCACCCCTGCACCGGGAGACTCCCCACCCCTCACTGCCCCCAGGTCACCCCAGCACAGCCGTGGGGTCCCACTGCAGAACAGGGCAGACACCCCCACCTCAGGCCCCCACTGAGGCCGGGAGGTGGCCCTGGGTGGGTGGCCGGTCTGCTGGCTGAGCTCCCGCCCAGCCCCTGCTTGCTGGCCCCACACGGGGCTCTCTGTAGCCACTGGGGACTGTGCTGGCCCCAGTGCAGGCTGCCCACCCCCCACCTCCTTGCCAGGCCCCTTCTGTGGCTGCGGTCTCCACTCCTCCCGGGCCGGCCCTGCGTGGCCAGCTCTCCAAGCTCTGGCCTCCAGTGACCCCTCCACGTGCCGGCCCGGAACACCTGCACCCACCCCGCCGAGCCTGAGCCTGCCTAGCTGGCCGCTCCCTCAGCCCCTCAGCCCCGGGGCCTGGGGGCAAGGTGGCCAGTGGCTGAGGTCCTGCAAAGCCCAGGGGGAGACCCCCAGAGCCATTCCACAGATAAAGCCCGGGCCTCTGTTTACTCAACAGCTCCACAAGGACGAACAGTGTTGGCTGGCCCGGCAGGGAGGGGCGCCCCACGTCCCCTGCTGGGGTTCAGCCTTCCAACCCCAAGCTCGGGCACACCCTGACCCTCCCATGGGAAAGCACGGGACTATCAGGCCCGACTGTCAGGCTGGAGGGAGGAGGAGGGGTCCGCAGGGAACGGAGGGCTGCGGTGCCTCTCTAAAGATGCCTCTGTTCCTTGCACAGGGGAGGAGGAGAGAGTCGTTCCATCGGGAAGGTGCATCAATACTTGTAGACGGCACGGTCACGGAGCATGGAGAGGGCAGGAACCGAGGGCACAGAGGGGCTGCCTGCCCAGGAGTCCCTGGGACTTAACGCCGGGGCCTCTGCCCTTTGGAGGTGGGCACTTGCCTGTTTCGTCCTCCGTGTCAATTTCCCGGGGCCACTGGATCATAGGCCACAGACCAGGGGGATTTCACTCCACAGAAGTTTATTCTCTCACAGGTCTGGAGGCTGGAGGTCCAAGACCAAGGTGTCAGCAGAGCTGAACCAGCTCCAGAGGCTCTGGGAAGGGTCCCTCCTGCCTCGGCCAGCTCTGGTAGCATCTGCTGGCCCCCGTGTTCCTTGGCTTGTGGCCACACCTGTGTCCACCTGTCCCTCCACATGTGCCCAAACTCCCCTCCTCTATGACACCGGTCCTACCAGGTAGGATAGGAGCTTATGGCCCAGCTCAACTTGATTACACCTGCAAAGACCCCGTTTCCAAATAAGGTCACATCCGCAGGTTGGGGGGTTGGGACATCAACATATTCTGGGGGACACAATGCAACCCACAATACCCTCTTCTTAAAAGGGAGGGAAGAATGGAAAGCATCACAAATAGGGACTTGCCTCTGGCCTGGGGCCCTAGCCATTGGGTCCTGCCTCCGGGCAGGGTCTCTTGGTGGTGGGGAGGGGGTCCACAGGGCTGTGAGAGCAAAGGAAATGGGGAGTCTCTCTTGGGGAGGGCCCGGAGAGTCCCATCACATCACCATCACCGTGTGGCTCTGGGGCTGTCAGGTAAGCTGATGTGCCCATCACCACTGCTGGCCCGGGAGGAGGGACCTGTGACCCTGTGGGGACAAAGCCTCTGTGCTTCTAGCCTGCCCTGTGCACAAGGATGAGGCTCTGGCCCTCTGAGCTGCAGGAGAAGCCTCAGGAATGGGAGGGAGAAGGGGGGCCCGGCTCTGAAGGGGTCGCAGCCTGAGAAACAACAGCCCGGTCCCTACGCACCGGCTGCTCCCCTACCAGCTGCCCCCAACCCAGGCAAGGGGAGCAGTGACCCCACAACACCAGAGAGCCTCAGATGACAGCTGTGCCCCAGCACCCCTCCCCTGTCCTGCTCTGACCCCTCGCCACTGACCACGGGCAGCCCAGGGCGATGACCAGCCTCGACATCACCAGACCCCAGGGGCCTTCTCTTGATGGGGCTGGCGTCGGTAGGGTGCGTGTTGGGTGCACCCCTTCCCCCACCGCAGGACCTGGCTGTGCACCCCATCCAGAGGCATTTCCGCTGCCCCGCCCAAGCTTTACCGCCCCCAACACACTCTGGCCACCAGCCCGCGTGACCAGCCATGTTCTCTTGGCCCCATGGCCTCTGGGTGGGGTGGCTGTGGCGGGCAGTACCTCCCTGACCCCTGGCTCTCCCCTGAACCACCCAGCAGGTCCAGGGCGCTGCGAGCACTCGGGGCTCCCCGGTGGCTGAGGCCACGGCACACCTGCGGGAGGCGATAATCACCGCCCAACTCAGACAGGCAGACGACTTGGCTGCCGTGCCTGTTCAGGAAAATTAACTGGACCCCATACGGAGACCCATACGGAGAGGGAACTTGCCCAGTAAGTGTCTTAAATGCACGGGCCCAGAATGCTGCAGCACAACCTGCCTACAACTTGGGGCCCAAGGGAGGTGGGCAGGGTCCCTAGGAGCTCGAGGTCTGGAGGGCTCCCGGGTGCTGGCCAGTGGGACTCTAGCCCCTCCAGCTGGGCTCCTATCCCCTCCATCTATCTATCATCTTCCACCCGGGGAGTCCCACCCTGCTGTCAGGAGGGGCCCCGGCCGGGGCTGACCGGAGAAACTGACTGGCCCTGTTGTGCCCTTGTGTGGCCCTGCACCCCGAGGCCAGCGATGGCCCGAGCTTGGAAGGCTGCCCAATGCCCGCTTGGGGGGTTGGACCCACCGCAGAAGCCTTTTCTTTCCCCCACTCGCTCTTTGGGGTCTTCTGATTGCCCAGTGAGAGGAGACAGACAGCCGGGGCACCAAGGGACCAGGGCCGAAAGCCAGGCTCCGCTGACCTGGGGCTGAAACCCCAGCCTCAAGGCCTCGGGGCCCTGGCCCCACCCTCCCTGCCCAGCGGGAGCTGAGACCTCGGCAGCCAGGCTGCAGATGTGAGGAAGAAGCTTCCCAGGGACGAATCACAGCAGCTCACGTTGGCCCGGTGTCCTCTGTGTCCTCTGAGAGCCCGGGGCACGTGCTGCTGTTGGCTGAGGGGCAGGTGGAAAGAGAGGCCACGGGCACAGCCGCACAGCAGGGAGGTACTGGCTCCACAGTCCCGTCAGAACAAGGGAAGTCCTACGGACAGACAGGCGTGGAGCTTTCGTGCCAGGCGTGGAGCTTATGGAAAAGCGGACTCTCCTGTCCTCGCAAACACTTTATCTCCGTACCCGCCGGGTAGAGAAGTTGTGCTTTTCACACTCCTGTCGTCGTTATCATAGAAATAAATGCTATACGAACACAGTTCTGCAAAACACAACGAAACTGGGCAGCTTCGTGGGAGCCCACAGCCTCCCAGATGCGAGGCATGGCCGTGTGTCCACAGTGTGACCCGCGGGAGGTGGGCAGGGTGGAGGTGTGCCCTTCTCCTTGCGGAGACAAAAGGGAACAATCAAAACCCAGCCCCGCAGAAGACATGACGAGCCACAAAGGAGAGACAGCCCGGAAATGCGGAGCAAGACGGCCGACTGGGACCCGACACGTTAGTTATGTGCGCGGTTAAAGGGGCGAACACACCGTGTAAAGAGCAGAGATGGCGGACTGGGCTCCCACCCGAGACCCCAGGTTGGACCATCTACAGGAAACGCACCGGAAATAGAAAGACAGGCCGCACGTGTAGATAAAGCATCGCGCCCACACGGCGCTGACCGTACGGAAGCCAGACAGCGGCGAAAACACCAGAACAGACCTCGGAACAAGGGGGATCCACGGCCAGGAATCGCCCGCAACGGAAGCACGGTCAGCTCGTCCAGGAGGCACAACAGTCCTAAAAAGTAGGCAGCGGGTAAGGGAGAGCTTCAGAGTGCGCGCGGCTAAGGCGGACAGGGCGGAAGAAATGAACTCGCAGGTGTAACTGGTCGTCTCAACACCCGTCCCGCAAAAACAAATACAAAAGGAAGACAAAATCAGGAGGATGTGGAGAGCACAAACATCGGTCTCACCCAGCTTGACTTGCCTGGTGGTTATGTTTACAGAGCATAAACAGCAGCGCACCGGAGGGTCACCCAGCGAACCTCGCGCCCGTCCGCAGAACAAGCCTCCGTGACACAGAGGACACGGCCGCAGATCCCGCAGACGATAAGAGGGGCCCGAGAGAATACGACGGACCTTGGAGAACTAAATCCGACAGCCCAGAAGAAATGCGCAAACGCCTTGGAAAACACAAACTTCCGAAGCTCGCTCGAAAGTGGAACGGGGAATGTGCGTCCCTCTAAACGCAGTAATGAGATCGCATGTGTGATTTACAGTCCCCCCCCAGCCCCCAATGTGGCTCCCGCCCCAAGCGCTCTCACTGACAAATTCCACCCAACGCTTAGCAGAGAGAGAATTCCGACTGTACACAAATATACAGACTCCATACAACTTGTAGAGAATGACAGGCTGACTCGAAAATTTATACGGAAATGCAAAGGACCCAGAAAAGCAAAACTCTTAGAGAAACAAGAATAAAATGACAAGACTTACACTACCCGACTCATCAAGACTTCAGAAATCACTTGATGTCTGACAAATGTTTCAAATTAATCCAGCAGGGGCAAGGGAGCGTCTTGGCAATAAATGGTGCTGGGACAACTGGCCATCCACAGAGGAAAAATAAGCCTCGACCGTTGTCCCAAAGCACAGGCAACATTCATCCCAAAGTGGGTTGCAGATGTGGACCAAAAGCTAAAAGTGTGAGAAGCCTCCAGAAGGGAGCACAGGAGAGTCCCTCCACACCAGGAGCGGGGGTGGAGATCGCTTAGGACAGAGGAAGCACCAGAAAAGAGAAGGTGTGTTGGACGTCATAAAATTTAAAACTTTGAACTCCTCTCTTCCAACGAAACGCAGAGGCCACAAGTGGGAGAAATAGTCTGTGTGTGTGCACAAACATGTGTGTATGTGCACATGCACATGGGTAGATCTGTATGTATACATGTGTGCAGATACGTATACATGTATGTGTATATACACACACACGACGAAGAAACTCATATCAAAACATATAAGGAATTCCTACAACTCAATACTAAGAATTCAAACAACCAATTAAAAATTGGCAAAGACACGGGCGCCTGGGTGGCTCAGTCAGTTAAGCGTCTGACTCTTGGTTTTGGCTCAGGTCATGGTCTCAAGGTTCATGGGATCGAGCCCCGTATCGGGCTCTGTGCTGACAACGCAGAGCCTGCTTGGGATTCTCTCTTTCCCTCTCTCTCTGCCCGCGCCCCCCGCCCCCAATAAATAAGTAAACTTTTTTTTTTTTTTAACTGGCAGAGATTTAAGTAAACTTGAAACCTAGAACGGCCCATAAGCACGTGAAAAGATGTTGGCCATCACTAGCCATCAGGAAAATGCAAAATAAAACCACAATAAGGGACCCCTGCAGGCCTATCAGGGTAGCTAACTGGGCCCTGTGAGTGCTGGTGAGAACGAGGGGCAGCCAGCGTGCTCTCCCGCTGCAGGGGGGACTCGTGTCACAGCTCGGCAGCTTTTACGACGTTGACAGCCACCGTGCCACGGGACACGGCCGCTGTGCCTGTATCCCCACTACCCGAGAGAAAAGAAGGACGCACGCACAAACACTCGGACGCAAAGATTCCCAGCGGTGGCACCCGCGGCAGCTCGCACCGGAAACGGCCCGACTGTCCGCCGACTGCGGAGGGACCACAGACGCTGGCCCAGCGAGCGCGGCTCCGCAGCGAGAGAGGCTGAGGCCCCAGCGGGCGACCCCTGCACGAGCCGCCACGCGACGATCGGAGGCGCACGCGGCACGGACTGTCTGCAGGAAATTCTAGAAAGTGCAGAACTAGTCCACGGTGACGGAGACCAGGCCACGGCCGCCTGAGGCCCGGGGAACGGGAAGGGCCCCTGCAAAGGACCTAGGGGCTTTCTGGGAGGCCGCGGTGACGGGCGGGCTGGGTTTGGCGGCGGCTGGCAGAGCTCCTCGAGCCACATGCTCAGTCCGGATGGGTGAGTCCCGCTGTGTGTCCCCTGCAGCTCAGCAGAGCTGGCTTGTTCTGGGGACGCGCCGTTCTGTGGGAGGCTCCCACCCCATGCTCCCCACAGTCTTCGATCCGTGGTCCAGTGGGACCTACGAGCCCCCCGCTTTCCTTGAGCCCTCGTGGCCGGAATGGACACCCTTGGTGAAGGCAGTAGGACACCCGGGTCCACGTTTCCGACACCCTTGAGAGGAACGGCAGTGCCTTGAGCGAGCTGGGTCCACCGACGCCTCTTCCCTCCTGGGCGCCCCGCCGCTCCTGGCTGTGGCGACGTCGCAGGCGCCGCTGTGCTCACGGAGCGCCCGCCGTGTGCCGGGCTCTGTGCGAAGCGGTTCTCGCAGTAGGCGGTGTTCGCTCAACCCCGAGAAGTACACCGTGTGGTCACACACGCCGTCTTGACCAGGAGAAAGCCAGGCATGGCTCGGCCCTGTCCGCCGCCACAGGCCTGGAAGACTGCCGCGCGGATCACATCCAGGCGCATCCGACAGCAGAGGCCACCTTCTGGGGCCCCCGTGCTCCTCTGCGTGCTGGGCTCAGCCGCCCCTGGGTCTGCCGCGGTCACGGCCCCGGGCAGTACCCGGACGCCCGCCAGAGCGACCAGGAGGCGGAAACTCTGAACCCCCGGCGTGCCCGGCACTCAGGTGTGCCAAAGCACAGGTGAGCCTGGCCACACCCCAACGGAATGGCACGCGCACACCACACCGAGCAGCGCCCGAGTGGGCGAGGCCCTCGTGGCCCAGAGCAAGATGCAGACGGTGGGGCCGGGCGAGGGTCCCCAACAGGCTGGCGGGCCTGGGCCAGGCCCATGGCCGCCCTGGCCCTCTCTCTGAGGGCCGGAATGACTCCCGAGCAGATCACCCGGCCCGGACGGATGGTAGCCCCACGAGACATCCGCGGGGCTCCCCAGGCGGGGGGCTCCGACTTCCAACCTGGGAGTTCCAGAAGTGCCACTTAATGACGACGACGACGGGAGTGCCCCACAGAAACAACCCAGTGTGAACTTGGGATCTCAGCGGGCAGCGGTCCGGCTGCTCGAGGTGTCCTAGGTGTGGGACGGGATGCGGCCGGCCCGTAAGGAGCCCAGCCGGGGAGCCGTGGGCCACGCGTGTCGGTTGAACACCCGTTAGTCTCTTCCGAAGCCGGTGTCCCCCTCGGGGACCCCCACTGCCGGGAGTCGCAGGGCCCACTCGGGGCGCACACGGCGAGGCCGAGCCCCCACACACATCAGGCCCCCCCAACACCCAGAGCCGCGGCTCGGTTCTGGGCATTGTAGCCATTCCCACGCAAGCAGCATAACCACCCCACTGCTGCTGCCAGCCCGGCCTCCTGCCCGCAGCGCGAGTGCCACCCCGGGCTTGAGTGGCCGGGCTGAGGGGTCATCCCCACGCCGGCTGACAGACCCTGACTCTTCCAGAGACCCCTGCGGGTCCCAGCCTGCTGTCCTCTGTCCCGTGTCCTGCTGTTCCGCCACGGGGAAGCTTCTTGTCCACGTCGGGCCTCTCCCCAAGAGAATCTATTTCCTTCTCATTATGGTGAAACGTGGTTAACGTCAAAGTTACCACGTTAACCATTTTCAAGTGCCCAGTTCTGTGGCCTTCGGTCCATTCACGTTGCCATACAACCGTCACTTCCATCCATCTCCAGAACGTTCTATCTTCCCCACACTGAAGTCTGTCCCCAGTGAGCACGGATTCTCCCTCCCCCTCCCCCAGCCCCTGGCTCCCACCCATCCCCCTTCTGTGTCTACGGTTCTGCTGCTTGAGGTCCCCACGTAAGTGTCCCTGGTGTAATGTCCTCAGACTCATCGTGTCACAGCAGGCGTCGGTTCCTGTCCTTTTTATGGCTACTCTTCACGTGCCACCGGACATCACGTCCATCGCCTTGTCAACGGGTGTGTGGCTGCTTCCGTCCCTCGGTCGCTGAGTCGCCGTAATGAACAGAGGCGCCAGTGGGGTCTCTGCCAGAGGTCGGGGCCCACGCCCACCAGCGGAAGGACACGGTGGCTCTCGGTGGGGCTCTGCCAGACCGTGCCACCCTCTCCCTCGAGCAGCCCACGCGGGTGCTGATGGCAACCTCACATGTTTTTGTTTTTGGTGACGACCATCCTAATGCATGTAAAGAGACTGACAAACTTTCTTTAACCCAAAGGTATTTGCCAGGGAGTCAAAATGAAGGGACCCCTGTGCCCTGTGAGCAGCCACGTCTCTCTTATTGCTAGAAGTTCGTAAAGCCGGTTTGAAGAGACTGGGAGAGTCTGGCCGTGAGGGTCTTCCAAATGCTCGGTTCACAAATGGATTCGCTGAGCGTTACCGGGGAGGGAGGGAGGAGGAAGGAGCGTATGGCACCCTGGGAGGGGAGGAACCCACTGGAAACAGGCCGGGCTGGAGATGCCACCCGGGGAAGGGGGACCAGCAGGGCCGGGGCGCGCTCAGCCCCAGGCCGCCCCTTCCCGCGCCCTGCCCTGAGCGCCCAGCGCCCGGTGGGTCGCTACTTCCGGGGGAGGGCAGCTCCGGGCGGCCAGGCTGGCGGGGGAGCTGGTGCCACCGCCCCCTCTCTGAGATCTGAAACCGGAGGGCAGCGGGAGGAAGCGGCTGGGAAGGACGGCACTCCCACAGAGACGAGCACGGGGAAAAGGCAAGGTTCTTCCCCCAAATATTTTATTTAAATATTAAATTAAAAAAACATACACCCGCTAATCATTTGGCATACATTTCTCATGTTAACATAAGAAATAAAATAATTAATTCCGTTGTGGTAAAAAAAAAAAAAAAA